CAGTCAGCTTTTGACTTTGAGACTCATAAAAAAGGAAATTAAAAAAAGCATTTTCATGGTTTAAAATAGCAGTACAGCAAATGTAAGGTATGAGAATATTTCCTGTCAGTTATTGCATGACTGATTAAGCTAGCATAATACAGTTTTTTTTTTTTTACATAGCACTTTTTATCTGAGTATTTCAAAATGCTATACAATTCCTTCCCTTAGTTAATGAGTGTTAATTATTATCTTCAGATTAATAGAAAACTTGAGAAGCTCAGATCTAAGTTTAGGATTAGGGTCCATGCCTGAGAAAAATGGTGGCCTAGGCCTGTTTGTATTTTTATTCTCATAAAGAATAAAAATACTGGCAAAATGATGGTTATTCTTGATTATATTTAAACAGAATTATCTCTGGAATACCAGAAGCAATGACAAGATTAAAAATAAAAGCTTAATAATTTATGCATTTTTTTCTAACTGGTTTCTACAATTTTGGGTCTACGGATCGCTTAAAAGATTCTGCTGGCAACCTGCCTGCCTTGCCCCCTCTTTCATCCACACCCACTTAATAGGCAGAGCCCTTTAACTCCTCACTGCTGGGCCACCAAGCCTTTTATAAAGGTCAGTGCCAGTGCTGTATATTAGGAACTGAAAAATAAGAACACATTATTATCCTTCGTAGTCTTCTTTTGTCCTTTTCTATATTTATTTCCTCCTTGACTAAGCCTTATCTCAGTATAGGGTTAATTTCCAGTTGAATCAGCTCTCACCTTTAAAGTATCATCAGTAAATGCTTAATACTCTGAGGCTACTGTTAACAAAGGAATTGGTTAAACAAATGATGTGACATAAATTCATTGAACTACTGGATAACGCTTAGGATGTAGATCTATGTAGATCTATTAAAGGGAACAGATGTCCATAATAGGTTTAAGTGGAAAAGGCTTTTTCTTCCTAAAGGATGAGAAGTTTTTCATTTTAATTTTTAAAAAGATAAAAAGATACATGCAAAAGGATGGACACCAAAAGTAATAGTATTAATTTCCGAGTGGTGGGATTACTGAAAATTAATTTTACCATCTATTTCTTCTCATTGTCTTCTGTTTGTTTTAACAACATGTTTCATAAAAATTTAAGAGCTATTACTGTTTTGAAATAACAGTAGAACAAATAATTTAAGCGAAGGGTAGTGCAGAGAGCAAATCCAAATGAGGTGGTAAATTAAATGAGATGGTAAATTAAAGACACGTTGAGATAAAAACAAAAGCTCATAGATTTAATAGCTATCCATAGAAGCTGTGGGTAAATTGTCAAGAGGATAATAACGTGTGCGTAGGTGGCTAATGAAGACTCAGATGTGCAGACATAGATATATGTAGTCTGGAGAAGAATGAATATATCATAGTTGTCTCTGTAACATATTCCTCTATGTTACCATATCAATCATTCCAGGATTTCTTTTTAGGAACCTGATGGACTTAACTAATACTTCATCAGAAAATTACCTTTCTCTCTAATTTTGAATTCAAAAGATAGCTACAATTGTATTGCTCTACTTTTATACTGTATGGTAGTAAGATGTATAAATTTCAGGAATTTGTCAAATATGTAATTTAAGTATTGTATATTAATCTAGAGATGTTATCGATTAGGACCTAAAGATAGAAAAAGATGGTTATATTATGAAATAATTTAATTTTACAGTTAATATTTACATTCTAGGGTTTTTGAAGACTAAAAAGGTATACAGAATCTGACCTAGGTTTTAGAGAGCTTACTGTGTTGTTGGAAAGACATTTTCAAGATAATTATGAAGGGAGGTAAAAATGGAAAACACATACCCTTTTGGCTTTTTATGGATATTTATTATCTTTAACAATTGTGAAGACATGAACAAAATTTCAATCATCTAAAATATGCTACTACATGGGGAAAAAATGGCATTTAAATATTAAATACTTGTTTTTATGTTTAAGGCAGTGTGATGTGATCTTGACTTTCTGCACTTTTAATGACTTTTTTTAAATCTAAATTTTAATTGTTGAAAATAATCATATACTCATTATAGAGTATCTATTACCAATTATTTTGTACATGAGTATTTCTCATTTAAGTGACTTTATTTTCCAGTTTTATTTTTTCTTTTAAATTGTCTAGGTCATGAAACATTTTTCTCAATGTGTTAAGATCTTGCTTCCAGGCATATCCCCTGTTTGACTCAAACAAATTTTCATAAACATTCAATAAATAAATAAAATTGTCTGGGTCATTTGTTGAGCAAAATATTAAGGGACTACTGTGAGCCAAGTAATAGTTTTCTAAATGCAACCTACTTTATAAATCTTTTCTGTAACTTGTTAATGTTTAAGCAGTTTGACTAGTTACATTGTACTTTATGAACTCATTGTTACATAATTCTAATAATAGCAAATACTTATGTAGTAGGTAATATGCAATACACCACTGTTTTAAGAGCTTTACAGGTATTAACTCATACAATATTCTCATTACCTTTTTTAATTGCCTTTTATTCTTCCCATTGGTGAGGGAGGGACTCCCAACTTTGGGTCATGGGGATGGCCGAACACATAACACCCAACACTGGACAAATGAGATCAACAGTTGATTGGTTACATATACTCACAGCCCAGAAGAAAACACTGCATGCCACGCAGGGCTTTGTGGAGGTTGCACTCAGGAGTGAACCGTTGGAGGCTGTGGGAGGGATGCTTTGTAGTATCAACAGGGTGAGGTGCCCTGTGGTTCCTGTGGGAAGCTGTGATTGGCTTATTTATAATTCCATGGGCTGGTAGGGAACTGAAACCTGCTACTTGGGAATAAACAAGAATTGTACCTGGTCTTTTTAATAAGACGGGTGGTTTGGCCAGGAGGCCTTATCCACATGAGCCAAGTGGGGAGAGGAACTTGGCAATTAGGTCATATGAGATCCTCCCAGTTTTATCAGCTGTCATGGCAGCACATGATATTGAGCCTTAATTTTAGGCCATACTACCCTGTGGGGCTGGTACTATTATCCCCATTTCACAGATGAAGATGTAAGATTCACAAGGTAACTTGCTTAAAACTATGACTACCACTCCCCCAACTATTTTCTTTTATGCTTGCTTTCCCTGAAGCTATATAGAAATTCAGTGTCTCACTCCCATTTCTGTCTATAAATAGAAATAAACTACCTTAGTATATTTATTACTAATCGTCAAGGAGTTTTCATCCAAGTGCCCTCATGATTTTATTTTATATCCTTTTATAAGTCTATAAACTCTAATATAGGTAAATACATTTGCATTTCTTTTTTTTTTTTCCAAAGATTTTTATTGGGGAATTGGGGGAAGGGGAACAGACAAGTTGCTGTCCTTTTGTTCTTCAGTTTAGTTGTGGAGGACGTTGCTTCACTGGCCCAAGTTGGCACCATCATTGCGCTCTTTCCGGGTGAGACAGATCAGTCGCCGGCTTCTGGACGGCCGCTCACTGCGGCTTTGGCTGCTCACGCTGGCTGCTGGCTATACACAGTAGCCGTGGCAACCCACTGCAGCCTACGCCGTCGCCAGCAACTCATGGTAGCCCAGCTCCAGGTTGAGCTGTTGTTCAGCATCTTAGCTGTAGGGGCAGTGTCACTGGCCCTCATATGTGGGATCCGAACCAGGACCCTCTGGCGTCCCAAGCCAGCTCTTAACCAATGTGCCATTCGGCCGGCCCCATTTGCATTTCTTGATTGAGAGTTGCAAGACATAGTCATTATCAAGGGAAGTGATAGATTCAGTTTTCCTTTTCTAAGGGCCTTTAAAAGCTGGATTGATATTAAGATTATTTGGATTTTATTCAGTCTAGCATGGAGGGAATGGTCTACTGGTCTTCCTTTCTAAAATTTCTATGAGTAACTTAGCTATATTTCTTATAAATATATAAAATACCTTTGGTTAATAGAAATTTTGCTTACTTTATTACAACTTCGGACTTTGCAAACTTGATTTGTCATTATGGTTTTAAAAGCTACTTTATACCCTAGGAAGTAATTGGCAATTATCTGAGATATACTATTTTTTCATTCTGATGATGTCAGAGTATCTCATTTTTCTTAATAAAATTGGATATATCTTTTCCTGTGAATGTGGTTTTTAAATAATACAAATATAATTATAAACTGCTTACTTTACTTTGTTTTTACCTTTTTTTTTTAGAATGGTCAAATCTTAGATGTAAGGAAGATAAGTATTTATGTATAGAGTATTATTTATCATGAATTATATGACAATTAAAAGCAGATTTTCCAGTGGGGAGGGCAATTTCTTTTTCTTGTCTCTGGGAGATCACCTGGGAGTAGATATAAAAATCTGATGGAGAAAATATTTTACAGTAAACATGGATTATTTTATTACCAGGAATATTTATTTTTCAGAAAACATGGGGAAATGAAAAGGATGCAGTGTAGAGTGAAAAAAATCAAGTCTGTGATCCCAATATGATAAATATATATGTAAAGAAAAAACACTGAAAGGGAATATATCAGTAATAATAGAAAAAAAAATATTTTCCACAATTTTTCTCATTCCCATCTCCTTGCCTGTGGACTTTGTCAAATTAACTTTTTAAAAATAAGAACAATTTAACCTCTGTATATTTAAGAGTTTTGAGTCTGGTATTTTGGGATAATTTCTTTAGTCTTTTGTCTTAATAAGAGCTATGCTTAAGTGATACAGTGTTAGAATGCAACATGCTGTCAGTTCTGCTATTAACACTTATGCAAATTTGTTTCAGTTGATGTATTGCAATAATTCGAGCATAATGGTGAATTTTACATTTTCTTATGCATAATTTCATGCATGAGAAATACTAGGTGAATTCAGAAAACTGCACCCAGCTGAGCTGAGCTGCCTAGGAATACCCTAAACACATACATGTCCCCCAAACATCTGCCCTTTACCTCAGTTCACCAGTGTGTTATGAGCGCCGTCCATCCACATCTGGTGTTGTTACAACTTTCCATCCAATTTCAGATCATCCTCCTTCCACTGCTTCATAACTCACAAGCTGCAGCCCTTTCAACACCCACTTCCACAAGCAACCTTCAGGTCTTTTGCAAGGTAAAGTGCCATTATTTATTGTAATATATATGTATTTTTTAACCATTTAATGTGTATAAAACTGTGGTACCATTTTTTTTAGGTTCCTTTTTTTAAATGTAAAACTGATGCAGTTTTTTAAGTGTTGTGTGTGCTCTTAGCCTCATTTTCCCCATAAGCCCTGCGGTTTTATTGCATGATTTTGCATAGTACAGTGATTTTTTTTTTTTTTTAGGGCACATATGTTGTGTTATAGCAGAATGACTGTGATTGAAAAGGTTATCTTTTTTTTAAATTAACATCGGATTTTAGTTAATTCATTGTAATAGTGTAATTAATTTAGTAAATGCACCAATTATAGATGTGGTAAATGGTATAGAAATTCAGTGCTTTTATTTTTTAATAATTAGATTATTACAGACCACAGATGTCTTTGAAGTGTGTCACTTGTGAGAGCACTATAGAACTGTCATAAACCTGTCATCTAAATTCATAATTAAAAGCATTTATCATCATGATATTTTAAAAATACATACTTTGAGGGACATTATGGGGAAAAGGAAATTACAAAAACGTATAAAATTATGTTCTTTAGTAAATTTGTATTTATGCATATATATATATACATACATACTTAGAAAAAATATATTGGGAGGATAAAAACCACCATGTTACCAGTAGCCCCTCCTTTTATTTATTTATTTATTTTTTTGGTTTGTTGTTATTGTTCTTCATGCCTTTACCTGGTTGGGTCAGTTGTCCTATAGAAATATTTTATAATCTGGATATTTTTCTATGCTTCTTCATGTTGTCATTTAACTTGCTCCTTTAACTCTATTTACTGTTAATTTGAAGTTTGGGTTAATAGCTTGATTAGATTTAGGTTCAAGTTATTTTTGGTACATAGACATTTTCTTCATCCTGTTTTATGGCTATATTGCTGGGTTAGGTTCCTAGAAGTGGGATTGCCATGTCAAAGCGTAAATGTACATGTAATTTTTCTAGACATTGTCAAATTCCTATTTGCGTTGATTTTGCATCTCTGATTTTTTTAGAGTGTTCCCTGTAGTCTTGTCAATAAATATGTTGCCTAACTTGGATTTTTGCCCATCTGATGTATAAAATATAATATTTGCTTTTTTCTCTTTATGAGTAATTTCTTCTGTTAATTGCCCAGTCTTTTTCCATTTTTCAGTTTGGTTGTTTTCCTCTTGATTTTCAGGAGCTTTTTATTTTTTATATAATTGGGGTATTAGCTATTGTCTCTGTTACATTGCACAGAAAATGCAGTTTCCTATTTTGCAAAGATTTTGTTTATGGTATATTTGTACCACATAGAAGTTTTGTTTTGTTTTGTTTTTAATTTTGTGTGTGTGTATGTGTGTGCGTGTGTGTGTGTGTGTGTTTGAATTACCAAATTTTTATTGTTTGTGGATTTTGTGTTTTAATTAAGTTTAATTGGTTTATGAGTCTATTCATTGTGAGTTAAAACAACTCTTAATTATAGAAATATTATGTTTTACTATATAATAGGGCTAGCACCCTTTCTACTTTGCTTTTCTTTACAGGGTTTTCTTGGTAATTCATGCTTGCTTATTGATTGAAAGTTTATTTTATAAATAAGGAAATAAATACTTACATAGAAATTCTATGACTGTATAGTAATGAGAAAAGTAAAAAATAATTGTTCTTAAGGTTTTTTTAATACGTTGTCTTAATATGAAGGTTAAATATAACAACATTTTTACAGATGACTGAAATCATTCAGAAGGATACATAATGAAAAGGAAGAGAGATGAGTGTATTGGAAACATTTATTTCAATCAGTGGTTCCCAAAGTGTGGTCTGTGGACCTCTAGCATCTTAGCACAAATCAAAGCAATGGCATCACATTGTAATAGTAATCAGTTTCCCTCACCATCCTGTATTCATAGTAAAAAATGTCAGTTTCACTCAAGAATATCCTTGAAACAGTAAACTTGATATGATTTATTAAATCTTGACCACTTAACACTTATCTTTTTAATAGCCCCTGTTTCAAAATGGAGAATACTCACAAAGCTCTTCGGCATGCCAAAGTATGATGCTTGTCTCAAGGAAAAGCAAACATGTGACTAAGTTGTAAGCCAAACTAGTCACTTTTTATTGAACACCAGTTTTACATGCAAGAATGACTAACTAAGAATTGTGGTTATTCAAGCTTGGGTATTTGGCAGACACTTACAAAAGTGAACAAAAGCAAGCCTGTCACTTAAAGGAAAACAACTGACAGGATTTATTGCTAATGATAAAATTTGAGGGCCGGCCGAGTGGCGCGATGGTTAAGAACTCGCTTGGGATGCCAGAGGGCCCCGGTTCGGATCCCACATATGATGGCCAGTGACACTGCCCTCTGCAGCTAAGATGCTGAACAACAGCTCAACCTGGAGCTGGGCTGCCGTGAGTCGCCGGCGACGGCGTAGGCTGCAGACCCTGTGGCAGTGGGTTGCCATGGGCTACCGTGTGTGGCCAGCAGCCAGCGTGAGCGGCCAGCAGCCAGCGTGAGCGGCCAGCAGCCGCAGTGAGCGGCCGTCCAGAAGCCGGCGACTGATCTGCCTTGCCAGAGAAGAGCGCAATGATGGTGCCAACTTGGGCCAGTGAAGCAACATCCTCCACAACTAGATTGAAGAACAAAAAAACGACAGCAACTTGTCTGTTCCCCTTTCCCCCATTCCCCAGCACTGTTCCCATCCCCCCAATTCCCCAATAAAAATCTTTAAAAAAAAAAAAAAATTTGAGCTTTCAGGGGAAAAGAATTTTGGGAAACTGGAATTCCCTGCCATGATCTTTACTACTTCTCAGTACTTAACACATTTTTCTGATGTGATTGGTGGTGGTATTAATAAATTTATTTTTAATATTATGTTAAATGTGCCCACGTTCCAAAAACCTGCAAACTCAGTGAGCCAATATTTTCTAAATGACCAGTGGTTAGTTAACATTACAAAATCATGCATGGGTGAAGGATCCATTCAAAGCACAAGATAAGCCCATGGATTTTAATGTAACAGAGTAAGAAATTTATTGATATGGTTCAGATTCCACATTGTAACAAACTTGATTTATTTATTTTTTTTTAGATTTTATTGGGGAATTGGGGTAAGAGGAATAGTGTTGGGGAATTGGGGAAGGCGAACAGCCAAGTTGTTGTCCTCCAACCTTACTTGTGGAGGGCGCAGCTAGCTCAGCTCCAAGTCCAGTTGCCATCCAGCGGCCCATTGGCAGCTCACGGCCTGTTCAGCTCAAGGTGCCGTGTTCAATTTTAGTTGTGGGTGGGCATAGCCCACCATCCCATGTGGGAGTCGAACTGGCAAGCTTGTTGTTAGGAGCACGTGCTCTCACCAGCTGAGCCATCCTGCCACCTGTTGGCAGCTCAGTGGCAGCTCAGCTCGGGCGCAGCTCACTGGCTCATGTGGGACTCGAACCGGCAATCCTGTTGCTCAGAGCTTGCATTCTAACCAACTGAGCCACTCGGCCTGCCCCTGTAACAGATTTTAAAGGCTGCCACTTCTTAAGTTTTAGTGTAGTATCAAAGAATATCCAAAATTATCTGAAAAATTTAAAGTACTCCTCCTTTTTCCAACTCCATTTCTTTGTGACTCCAGATTTTCTTCATGTACAATGATCACAATATGTAGTAACAGACTGAATGCAGAAGTAGATAAAAGACTCCAGTTCTCTTTTATTAGGCCTGATATTTGCACAAATGTAAAACAAGGCTACTTTTCTTAGTAAACTTTTTGTTGTCTTGGAAATTATTTAGTGGTGTAAACATGTAATGCTTTTATTTTTATTTTTAAATGAATTAATAAATATTAAAAATTTTTCTTTGATTTACTTTCTAATATGGTAATTATTGATAGATAGTACTCCCATAAAAGTCTTTTGGGGCCAACAATTTTTAACAATATAAAGAGGTCCTGAGTACAGCGTGGGGAATATAGTCAATAATATTGTAATAACTATGTATGGTGCCAGGTCGGTACTAGACTTATCTCAGGTAGATAACTAAACTTACCAGGGGAATCATTTTGTAAGTTATATAGAAGTCTGACCACTATGTTGTACACCTGAAACTAACATGACATTGAATGTCAACTCTAATTTAAAAATTAAAAAAAATTTTTTTAAATAAAAAGTAAAGAGGTCCTCATACCTAGAAGTTTGTGAACCATCTGTTTAAATGAGCATAAAAATTCATGGTTTTAATTCTGATTACAGATTTTAAGTTTACCTGTATACATTAAAGCACAATTTTGTAGTCCTCTTTTTATAGACTTGGGGTTGACAAAATAGAGCAGAGATAAAGTTAATGAGAATACATTATACCGATCAGATCTATTTTCTAGGCAGAAATTAAAACATAACTGTTCTTTTCAAAACTAGAAACAAAAATTTCTGGTTTTCATTTAAATTTCATTAAAACTGAAGTTTAATATAATTCAGTGTAAAATCAAACATACTTTAATTTGCTCAATTGTGTTCCTGAGAGGCTGTATAAAAGGTATTTTCTCAATTTAAATAAGATCATGAGTTCCTGTAATTTCTGACTACTTGGTGTGTAAAGAAGTATTGTTTCTCATATGGCTAATATGCTTATGTTTTTAAACCTCTGGAAGTCAAGTCTATTTCGTGTTTTTTCTCCTAATTCCTCTGAGCTGAGCAAGTGACCTGTATTTTGTTAATCATTGTGTTTTGAAAGACCTGGAATTATCCTGTCACTCTGTGTTCCATTAGAATAACCTCAAGGCCTTCTAATTTTATTAAAATCTAGGGGGTAGATGCTGAGTATAGAGATTTGATTTAATACTACTTTCCTGTCATATCCCAAGAGAACTTACATTCACTTCATGATTTTTTTGTTTCTCCAAAAAATTAGTAACTATCAACCCTGTACTGAATTTTAGAATGTTATATAACTGTATTTGTCTCTAATGGGAGTCTTACTTTCTAAAACTCCCAATTTTAATTTATTTTAACCT